CTTGGACCCAGGTAGTAAAACAGGAAGTACCGATGAAGACCAGTGGTACTTCTCAAATAAAGTTCTCACCACAATGAGAAAAAAAGCCGAAGCCTTCAGTGGTATGGCCAAAGGCCTGATGAACAGCGGCAGGTTCAGCTTCCTTGTATCCGCCATTGCAAATGAGAAATACACAGGAGCAACTATCTACCATTACAAGAACGGCATTTTGGTCACTGATGATTTCTCAAAGCCTGTTCTGCCTCCTGTGGAGACCATCACAGACAGAAGAGATATGATTTGGTGTAAGTCATTTTAAATAAACAAATTACTCTCCTCAATTTACCTGTTCAACTAATACGACATTTTGTTTTGGTTTCTCCGTCAGATGCCTGCGATCTCACCCTGGACACAAACACTGCAAACGCACGCCTCAGTCTGTCTGAGGGAAAGAAAAAAGTAACAAATGGAGTATATCCGCGATATCCTCCTCACCCAGAGAGGTTTGATCATCATCCTCAGGTGTTGTGCAGAGAGGGGTTAATGGGGCATCATTACTGGGAGGTAGAGTGGAGTACTGGTGAGTTTGATTATGTCTTTGTTGCTGTTGCATACAAAGAGATTGGCAGAAAAGCATCCAGTTCACAGACCCAGTTTGGAAATAACATATCCTGGGTTTTTGAGCATCACTCATTCACAAAACACTTTCTTACTGCAAGACACAACAGTGACAAATGGGAATGTTCTTATCCCTCTACTGGCTGCAGCAGAGTGGGGGTGTATCTCGACTGGCCTAACACTCTGTCCTTCTACAGAGTCTCTAACAACACACTGAGTCACCTCCACACCTTCACCACTACATTCACTAGGCCTGTTTACCCAGGCTTCTGGCTTTATAATCAATTAAATTATGCATACCTGTGTCCAATTGAATAGGAGCAATGATGAAGACTTGTTAAGATTCTTGGTCTGTAAATAGGGACATGGATTAACATTTAAAGGTATTGTATGTAACTTCTTACGTGTACTAATGTTTTATTGCCAGTAGGTGAACAGATCGTAACATAACTTAAGAACTGAGACCTTAACTGGGTTTCTTGGTTCCTCTGGCAGCTTACGGACTGTCTTCTCTGTGAAGGACACAGGATGAAAATTCTGGGAAAATCCAAAGGATGTGATGAACCTTAACCAAAAAATATCTCTCTGGCAGAAAGACCTCAAGGCAAACTTCTGCCATGAACATGCCGCATCTCTTTACAGTTCCCCTTCAACGATACAGTGTGATAGACAAGAAGTCTGCTAATGTCAACAAATGACCAGCATTCACCACAACAAAGAGTCCACACATGGTGAGCCCAGAGACAGACCTTCACTTACCACAAAGGTTTGTCCTGACTGAGTTTTGAGCTGTTAGAGCCACTGACTGAAGGTCTGTCTCTGGAGCTGCCCTCCCTGTTCCATCTCTGACAAACAGGTGTAAAGCAGAACGACAGCGGGTGTGCTAGCTAATTCTTGTCTCATTTGTGATAAACTGATAAACAGTAAATTCAGATTCAGTACCACATATCATAAACTCAGTGTCCTGCTGTGACATGTGAAATGTAATGAAATACTGAGGTTTTAGCTAGCTAACACAGCCTAGCTTTCCAACGCGAATGAATTGTGAGCTTGTTAACGTAGCAAAATACTTTCTATCAGCTAATTCATCCAGACTCCCGGGGCTGGTTTGCAAATTACTTTATCAGCTACTAAGCAATCAACAGCAGATCCATGAAGCTAAGCTAAGCTACAGTCTGCACCTGTGTGGCCAACAACCGTAACCTAAGCTAAGGTTAGCCAGCTAGCTGTGACGCTACGCTGCATGGATCTGTGGTCGGTTGCTTTGTAAAGTTAGCTGATGAAGTCATTTGAAAAGGACAAGATTGTTAGTATCATGATGCCAAGGGTCTAAATAAAACATAGAAACAAACATTATTTTAAATATGACCGCAATTCAATCTCCAGCACTCTATCAACAGGCTGACGGTCAGTCACGGACACTCTCTTGATCGGCACTGTTGTGGCTGATACAGGTGCTCAGTCGCTGCTACGGAGATGCTGACTGCAGCCTCTGAGAGAGAGGTCACTAAAGACAAGAATATTCTGAGAGTTACACACAAACCTTTAATGTTGCCTCAACATGCTTTCAAACCCAGAGTGACCAGAGCTGATTTAATACATAACCTTCTTCTCAAACAGCTTCATAATCAGTTTAAACTTTAGTGCTCATTACATCACATATAGCTACTCTACAGTATACTGTATGTTTTTAATTGTTTTGTCTTGTGCTTCACAGCTTCATAATCAGTTTAAACTAGTGCTTAGTGCTTGTTAATCACATATACTGTATGTTTTTAATTGTTTTAATCTCTATTTTAATTTCTGATATTTGACAATACAGAGCTAATACTGATACACAATTGCTTTAACAATATTAGAAATACAAACTCATAGCTCATGTTAAAAAAGGCATTACTTGTCACTGTTAACATCATTTTGTTGCAAACATTGCTGATGTAATATCAGATTCCTGCAACACCTGTTGGATATGTTTACTCTCTTATTAAACGAAATATTCAATAAAGTGGAGACCTGACTTAACCCCTGTGTGCTACTTCATTGGTGCAGATTAAAAAGTTGACTGCATCAAATATTCTGGCGTCATCATTTATGACACATCAGCATCTTTTAGTGCAAAGAACACCAAAACAACAGAACATGAATCCTCATACGTTTCTGGAAAATGGAAGGTAGCTAGCCTAGCTTGCTAAGGTTAGCATTGATTCTCACTTGATGTTACTTTTTCTTCAATACGTTTTTCACGAAATTCACAATTGACAAAAAGATTGCACGCTTTGGTGGCCTCTCAACCTGCATAAATAAGACAACTAGAATTACCGCCCTGCAATCGTATGCCTCCATAAACCAGTCAAGTTGCAGTTTACATCCATGCCTGTCAAGACTCATATGTAGCCATGACAGATGACAATGTTTAAAATACTGATGCTCCTACAAAAATTCTAACACATGGATGCTTCACACTCATTGTCCCCGCGACAGCACAGAAGATTTATACAATCAGCACAGTTTAAGGTTGACACCCAAGTTTCGTGTCACTGATTCAGTACCCAACCTAATGTCTCCTCTTCTGCTCCTAAAATATGTTTATTAATGGCCAGAAAAGTGTTTTATGCTGAACATTATGATGTCACAGTGAAGCTGACCTTTGACCTTTTGGATATAAAATCTCATCACTTCATCCTTTTATCCTGTGAGACATTTGTGTGAGATTTTGTCTTGAGTTGTGGCCAAAAACATGTTTTGTGAGGTCACAGTGACCTTTGACCACAAACACCTAGTCAGTTCATCATTGAGTCCTCGTGGATGTTTGTGCCAAATTTGAGGAACTTCCCTCAAGGTGTTCCTGAGATATCAGGTTCACAAGAGTGGGTCGGATGGATGGACGGACAACCTGAATACATAATACCTCCATCCATGGCTGTCACCAGTGCAGAGACATAAAAACGCTAAAAGGGACGGTGATAGAACACAGGCGCAAATGTGAGTCAACCTTTGTTGGTCGTTCAACAGATGGAGAGAATTGAAGGATTTAAAAGGATTCAAAACTGATCCTGAATTAGCTCTCTTCCTCCTAGACAGGTATGTAACATATTAACTTAAGTTTCCTCAACAAAATTAATATTACCTTACACCCAAACTTAATAGTTGCAGGCTAACATACGTTGGCGAGCAAACGTTTGGCCACCCCTGGTCAAAAATTAATTTACTGTGAATAGTTAAGTGAGTAGTTAAAAGTTAAAGATGAAACAGGTTTTCCAATATTTAAATAAGATCAGTGTATTATTTTTTTTTGTACAATGTTAGAGTGAAGAAAGGAAAGGAGCACCATGCAGAAAAAAATGGGCACCCCAAGACATTTGAGCTCTCAGACAACTTTTCCCGACTCTCAGACCTTAATGAGTTTGTTAGGACTCTGGCTTGTTCACAGCTGTTCACAGATTGATCAGACTCTGGAGTGGTGGTGCACTGTTCTACTGTGCAGACACACCTGGACAGGTATGACCTTCATGGAGGAGTCATCAGAAGAAAACCTTTCCTGTGTCCTCACCACTAAATTCAGCGTCAGATCTTTGCAAAGGAACATCTGAACAAGCCTGATGCTTTTTGGGAACAAGTCCTGTGGACTGACGAAGGTGAACACAATGATCAAAGGTGTGTTTGGAGAAAAAAGGATGCAGAATTTCATAAGAAGGACATCTGTCCAAAACTTCTGCATGCAGCTGTATAACCTAGGTGTACGAACAGTGCTAAGAATATAATTTGTTTCACCGTTGTCATATTACAGTTACTAATCTTAAGCTCAAGACACCATAAACTGTATCAAAGAACTAGTGGATGAAAGCCGACTGTTGTGTCGCCTCATGTTGCCTCATGCTGCTACAGACCACAACCAACGGCCAACTAGCACATCATTTCTGCACCTGCATTAGAGGAAATACCTCTCCAGGTCGTCCTGACTCGACTCATTTTTGTTTGTTTTCCTCACTTTCGTTTCTTTTCGTGTGCGCTGAGCTGAGCTGCCAATCAGAGTGAGTTCAAAGCGCTGAGTCGGCCAAAAGAACCCAACAAGGGCCGGGTGGTGCCAACACTGTGGGACACACTGCAAAAACTAGGCCCGTTATGTAAGGGCCCTTATATCGCCACAAACAGACACATGACGTCATCACTATGCATCCTGCAAACAGCTGTGTTCAAAAATACATTTAAAAAAGTTGTGTCTTTCTTTAATTTGCTTCCAAAACAACTGCACGTGCTGCCAGATCAAAACACAAGGCAGTGGTGCTCATGGAAACACTACTGCTGTTGTCCACAGGGGGGCGCTGAAACCAAGACAAAATGAAAGGTCCTCGTAACGGCTTTGAAACCAGTGACAATAACAAGCAATGAGCATGCAGCTGTACCTGGCACTCCTGATGTCTCCTGGGGCGGACGACTCGATCTCTGGACATATCTTTCTCAGCATGTCACAGTACTTCTGAGTCTTAAACTGCGTGGGGCACACGATAGCTTTACACCCAACCTGTGAGAAGAGGAGCAGAGGAGTCACCTTAATGTGATGAAGTTTTATTGACATAGCCTAATATCACAAGCTCAATTCTCTGCATGTCTCAGCAGTACGACACAGGAAAAGTCACCTACCTTCCGCAATGCAAACTCCACCTCCTGCAGCTGGTAGGCTGGGTTCACTGACACCTGTTGGGTGGTAAAACCATAAAAAATCAGCTCATGAAAGAAAAGACACTAAAAAGTGGACGGACTTAAAATTGGACCACAGTCACAGTCAACTTAAACCACATGAATGGTTCTTTTAACCAATATAATTTTAGTGAGAGGTGCCCGCACGATTGTTTGTCCTCCACTTTGTGTAACTATTGTACTGTGATGGATATTCATCAGGTACATTTGGTTACCAATATGTATTTATTATCTTTTATTTGTTGTGTCTCTTTATTTTTAAATCTTTTTATTCAGTTTTTCTGAGAAAAACTGATCAGAGAAGGACCCCATAGTACGTAATGTCCACCCCTACCCAGTGTCCATTTCCGCCTTATCAAAGCCATCAATTCATTTCTTCAGCCTTCATTATAATACGTGTCCAGTGTGTTGGCCTGCTAACCTTACTGCTATGGCCGTGCGCACAGCCTCACAAGAGGTTCGAGGATTCCCATACTCACCCACACCATCACCACACGTTGAGTCACCTTTACTTTGCAGTCACTTAAAACACACGACACCAGTTTGTTTAGTTTAAAATGTATTAGCATTTTGACAACACACTGTTTTCTAGATGAAGCGCACACATTTAGTTTACATTGTTTTGTTATGCTGTTGTTTGCTTTTATAACTTATTAATTCTTTTGTCTTTGAGTTAGCTGAAGTTACTTCCTGGTTGGAGTTGGGCAAAAGATGGGGCTGTGGGAGGAGCCTGCTTTTATGCAGAAGGCCCTCTCACGGAGCATCATGGGGGGATACAGGGTGTCTTAGTCTTAGTTATTGTTCGGGTGAGTTCTCCCCTTTGTGTTTCAGCTGGTCTGATCAGCCAGTGTAGACAGTACGTTGCCCCATTGTCTCGTTCTGTCAGGTCTGTTTGTTGAGTTTTGTTTGCCTTATTTTTCAGTTGTTGGCCTCTTTTAAGGCCCTTTAACTCAGATGTTGTCGTCTTTAGTCATTTGCTTTGTAAAATCTATTTTTTGGGAAAATAAACCGACCTTTATGATACTTTAGAGCTGTGTTGTTGTGCCTCCACTGTTTGATCCGTAACACTTATTAATTTATTAATGAACTACTTTTTTCTTAAAGATGGCTTTATCATATGTCATGATTATATGTCATTATATTACATTGTATTGCATTATTAATTCTTAATTGTATTGCATTATTAATTCCTTGTATCTGCCAGAAAATAAATGTTGGTATTGTACATTTCTGCAAACCATGGATATGCAACATTTGTGAATTATTATGTGGCACATACTTTAAAACTTTCACTGGTACCTGTGATTAGCTTTAGGCACAAACACCTCTTGGTTAATGTTAGAATAAGATCATGTTTTGACTTTAAATGCCCACTTTGTCTGGCACTATCCCAGCAGGAAACACGGTGGTGTTTTGGCTAAACACAACTGCTTCCAGCGGCACTAACCCTGGTGGAAAGGTCACTAAAAACTCCCAGATTTGGTGACTAACAAACAGCTGGAAACACAACAATGACTTGTTAAAACAGAACCAGTTTTGTTGTTTGTTGGTCTCAAACAGTGTTCTGCAGCTTGGCAGGTGTCTCACCTGGATGTGACGCCATCCACCATCCCCTCCACCTCCTCATGACAGTTCATATACTACCTCACTATAGAAACATTAGTATGATGTGTATGAAATGTACAAATGAAATGTATTTCGTGGTTTGCAGAAACTTGCAATGCCAACATTTCCTTCTAGCGACTGGGCTTTGATCACTGTAACATGTTAAAGGCTTAGACTGATGATATTCTAGTATATTTTTCTTATTGTCAACAAGTCACTGTGTTAATCTGAGCTCAGTAATTCCCTATTACAGCTGGTCACTGTAGTTATTAATCAAACAAACAGGAGGAAATAGTGCACGTGTTAAGGACTACTTTCAGCAGTGGATTAATCCACATTTGGTGCTGTAGTGAGTATTTGTGGCTGCAGGCAGTGTGTGTGGGATTGAATAAAGAAAATACAGTTGGGGTTTCTCAAAGTCAAGGATCCTTCCTGTGTAGGATGAGTCCTTCCAAGGAAGGATGCTGCAGAGGCAAGGCAAGAGTCCTTCCTATCATTCAGTGAACACACATTGGAACAGAGTAACAAGCGTCCTGAGGTGATCGTCATGAACCCTCAGCAGACTGAGGAGGTTTCAGATACTGTGATAATTCTGGCACTCTCTAATGTTGATGTCATTTCAAAGCTCTCATTATGTGGCAGCGGACACATTGGAAAGTGTAAAATATGAGGCTTCTGTCAATATTTTTTCATGCTGATAAAAACTGCTGGAGATATTGATCCAAATAAATAACGTATCTATCCAAATTCTGTCGAGCTCCTCTGGTGCAGGTCTTGTTAAAGAGGCCCCGCCTGCATTTCAAGCCAATTGTGCACAAAGAATTGTGGGTACTTTATACTCCGAGTATACACACATGCATCCTTGAAAATTCTCTGAAGGAAGGACTCAGTCCTCGGTAGAACTTGAAGGATCCTTGACAGTGAAACAGTCCCTTCAGCAGGATTTGATGATGTAGCATCCTTGAAATTCAGCCATTTAAGCATCCTTCCTTGACTTTGAGAAACACCCAGTGTGTGTGTTCGTGGTTAACGAGGGAACATGTCGTCCAGTCTGGCTCACTAATGTGTTCATGTGTTTTTGGACAATAGAGCTCTTTGGCACAGATGAGCAATGTCCCAAAATATAAATGGATCTGCATTAATTCAGAGAATGAGCTCTGTTTCTGTGATATTGTTGTTTTTTACTGTTGTGTCGCTTCCACTCACCAGTATAATGCCAGCTTTGGCTGTGGCAAACTGCATGAGGATCCATTCGTAAGTGTTGGGTCCCCACATGCCGAGCCGGTCTCCTTTCTGCAGCCCAAGTGCCAGCAGTCCGGCTGCAGCTTGATCCACCTGCAGGGATGATACGGACACATCAACAGGTTTCACATGTTTGTTGACATGAGCTGAAGAATGTGTCTCAGAAATATGGTGCTAACTAGATCTATACAGCTGTCTCCATAGTAGAAACTTTCTCAGCTCCTGGTTGAATCTTTTATAAAGATCCCACCTGGAACCCTTTCAGAAAGTTCTGTCTAGAACATAAAAGGTTATACCTAGAACCATCAGTTTACAATCATGTTTGTAGATCAATAATGACACATCAGAGCTCAGTGGAGCGTGAGATACAGTTGACATGTGTTATATGACAGCTGCTATCTGAGCGCTGTCGGCCTGCACTTTTATGCCAGGTTAACGACATCATGCACCACACTGAGTTTGAGATATGTTTCTTAAGGTCACTGGGTCAAAGTGTTTTTATTAAACAAGACAGATCATGCAGGTGACTGACAAAGAGGACACGCCTTATGGCAAACACTTATATCAGTGCTGTACCTGGTGCCTTTCTTGCTCTGACAAGACGTGTTTGCAGTTTACAGTGTTTAAGTCTCCAGTATCACTTTATACTACAGCATCAACATGACCATGAAAACAGTGATCACAGAGTTAATGGTCAGAAATATAAAATATAATCTGTGACACTCTGCTGGGGACAATAAATGATGTCTGAAGACAGCTCAGCTCGTAAACTCTGTGCTCTTGTAAGGTTTCCTAGGTATTCTCCGGGACCGCCAGTGTTACTTGAATAAGTAAACACTGACCAACGGGACCAGACTGGCCGACCCGTATGCTCTCACTCAGTGGATGGATGATGTCACAGGAAGCCAATCTTACAAAGGAGGACCACACTTGTTTGTTTTGCTATGGAAGCTAACGTTAGCTAATGTGCTAAAAAGTTAGCGTTGCAGAGAAATCCAATCTTCCTCTTAATCCCTCCCCAGTTTCTGATGAGGTGGACATGATAACCCTTAATACACATAACCTTATTCATCCCTACAACAGGAAATACTTTTTCCCTAACCTGATATGAAGTGTGCGCTGCACATGTGAGCATTTTTGATGATGGCCTCCGTCCAGTCCTTTGGTCTTATCACATTTAACCATAGTTGTCTTTGTTTTTGTTGACGGGCAGTGGCGGCTGGTTTTGAGCCATGACTCCTTCTATTCTGGCTCCCAATAACACAACAAGACAAACACATGTTAACACTCCTATGGAGCCTACAGCCCTGTGGGGGAGAGGCAGCTTTATATTCCAGATAATGAAATGATGTCATCGTGACGTTGGCCCTAAAAGCGTCTACACATTTAGTTTGTTTTTCTATTTTGTGTTTCATTTTCTATTTCTATACCTGTATCTTTACTTTCTTTTGTCCCTTATCTGCTTTTGTGTTTTATATTTTAACCCATCTTTACAATCTTCTGCTTCAAATGAGAATGATTACATCATTTTATGGACCTCAGTATAACTCAAAGAGAATTTAAAAAAATGAGAGGTAGATTTTTTTCTTATACATTTTGAACCTTTTTTCCGTTATTGTTTGTCCCTGAACAATTAATAATAAAACTTGAGTGCAGTGAAGGAGTACATGTGTGTAACTCCCAGGACTGACTAATGATTATCTCGGTTCCATGAACTGTGTGTAAAGTGAGTTGTGAAACAAATTACTGCCGGGGGTGTAATGTCCACTGTGGACACAGTGACATGTCCTTTCACTTTGATTCATTCATGAAAACTCTCTGATTGTCCACCGGCCAAAAATCTAAATAGCCTAAATAAATGAATCCAAACTGATTAAAAACAATAAATAAAATAATATAATATAATAATAATATAATATACAATAAAAACTCATCATTAATTGTTACTGTAAAGCCTCATGAGCAGCAAGTTATTGGATTTTTTCCTGGCCTAGATTTTGGCTCTCTGGATTATGTAAGTAGGCTGACCAAATGTCCTCTTTTGCCCGGACATGTCCACTTTTCACGTCCCGTCCGGGGCATCCGGGGGGTTTTTATAAACTGATGATAACGTCCGGTTTTCCGTGTGTTTGTGTGTGTGTGTGTGTGTGTGTGTGTTAGAGTGCGGCACGGGCCGCATATTTCTGTCCAAACCTGAACTGAGCCCGACATTATTTTGCTCAGCAGAGAGGGAGACCTCCGTGTTTGAGACGGGAGCGGGAGGCGGGAGCGGGAGGCGGGAGGTCCGACGCTTCCAGCGAGAGGAGAGGGAGAAATAAAACAAAATAAGATAAAATATGAAAAACCTGTCTCCCTCTTTTATTTTCAGCGTTTAATCAAGGCAGAGGTGGGCGGCTGGAGGTCCGATGCTTCCAGAGAGGAGAGAGGTAGAAACAAACAGCCAATGTGTGTCTGTGTGTGTTATGTTCAGGTGTTGTCACGTAAATAACAGTGCCCAAGCAATAAACAGGACAGACAATAGGATTTTATTTATTTTTACACTACATTTTCACTGAAAGCTGACCGAATCCAACCCGAGCCCGAATACAATTTATAGCTACATTTTTGACCAAACCCAGCCTGACCCGTCGGGTACCGCCAGACTCGGATCGCCACACTCTAGTGTGTGTATGTGTCCCCTATTGGGGCCTATCTGAATTTCTGTCTTTGAGAGATATTGTTTTGTAATATAACTGAATTTTCTATCCATACATATAAATTTTAAATATATTAAAATTATAAGGCATCTTTGAGTAAACTGCGAGTATCATTTAAGTAGGCTATGTCGTGGCCGGCCGAGTGTCCTCTTTTTTGGAAATCAAAATATGGTCACCCTACTGTAAGCCTCTGACTAATGGAGCTTTCAGGGGCCATGTGCAGCCGGACAGGAGGGGGCTCATTATTCATGTTTTCTGGGGGGTGGGAGGTGAAAATACTTTCAGCATGTCAAACACTTGCGTGTGATCTGAACCTCAAGAAGCACATATCCAATAAACTGCCTTCTATCATCTTAGAAATATATCTAAAGTTAGATGCATCCTGTCACTGTCAGACTCTGAAAGGCTGGTTCCTGTATTTATTTCTAGTAAACTAAAATACTGTAATTCACTTTTTGCTGACAAAGCATGAGGGGTTAAACAAACTCAAGCTCATTCAAAATGCTGCAGCTGCAGTGCCAACAACAACCAAAGGATGTGAACACAATGCACCTGTTTCAACTTCTCTCCACCGGCTCCAGTAAAACAAAGAGCTGATTATAATATACAGACTCCAGAGTTTCACAATATATTATTTGGCCTGAGATGCCTGATTTCACAACAGCCTTAGCTCTGCCTGTTTTGATGTTCAGAATCGTTTTCTGCATTCAGTGTTTCCAACAAAAAAATAATCTATTTGTAAAGGCAGGGGCGTTTGATGCACCGTTGAAGGACCCTCCCTGTGACTGGCTCTCCTTCTCTCTCTGCTGGGTTAGCATGAGATAATGCAGCACAACATGATGTCATCACTACTTGAGCCAAAGCCCCACAGCAACGGTTCACATCCCACACCACGCCGTTAATCTCTCTTCCATACAGCTCAACTGAGAATCACGTCAGTCTCATATTTGGCCATTTGGCTGCAGGTTTGCATGGCATGCCATATAATAGACACAAAATACAGCCATTTAAAGTTGTGTGCCCCTCCCTTAAGCCAACATAAAGAAAACATAATTCCCTCCACTGCAGTTAAAAAATATTATATTTATATATCTCCAATTCCCTGTACTTGTGAGCTGAACAAAGTCATCCACACCTTCATTTCCTCCCACTTCAACTACTGCAACTGATCTTAAAACACTTTTACTCACCAGCCTTTAACTGTGCATAATGTGACTGTCTGTGTTGCTGTCACAGTGAGGTGACAGTATGAAACAAGCGTAGAGTCATGACAGGTTATCATCACTGTTATTATTATTTCATTGCTCTTATCATTCAAATGTTTGTGTTTCTCTTTTGTTTTTGCTTTTCTGTGTGTGTGTGTGTGTGTGTGTGTGCGCTGTGAGAGTACTTTGGATCAACTCTGTTTGTGTTTACTGGGCTATAAGTGAACCAAACTGAAGTGTATTGTGTCGCACTAACGTGATCCTCAACCAGTATTTCATGGTTTTTTCTCCCTTTTATTTAATTCTTTATTTTTATTTTTTTCTCTTACTTATTTTTTTGTTTATTTCATTTTACTTCATTTATTTAGGTACGTTTGCTGACTTAGGTTAGCAAACCCAGTGTCTTCATTTCAAACCCTCCTCAAAACATACTTTCACAGGAAGGCTGTTTTACAGTAAATCTGTTGTGTGTCCAGATTTGATCCTTCTTTCTATCAATTTTATTATTTATTTATCTTATTACACACTCTGATTTATCTGGTCTTAGCGTATGTTCAATGTTTTAATAACTGTCATTATCTTGATGATGTGTGCACTATTTTATTTGTCTCATGAAGCACTTTGTAACTGCGTTTTGAAAAGTGTGACACAAATAAAGTTTATTATAATTGATTTAGTTATTTATTTATATGTCTTTGTTTATTGTTGTTACAATCAATAAGGAAACTGTTGGAAGTAAATCAAATACAACATCATTCAGTGTCAGGTCTCTTTCAATCAATGTGCTCAAGGCTGTAGGTTTGATTTTAGACATTCAACCAAATAATAAAGTGAAGACTCATTCGTGCATTTATTTCACACTATTAAGATTTCATACATCATAATGTTTCCTTGGTGGCGACCTGATACTTCACGATACACACATCATGTGGTATTTCCCGTCCTTCACTGCAGTATGTTAGAGTGATGTTAAATTGTAGCTTGTTTTCAGGAGAAACAAAAACTTCACTCTACAAACATGTTGGGAATGTGGTGATCCTCCTCCAGTCTCCTCTCAGGTTGCATCAGGCCCCAAAAATCTCCTCCACCAACAGGAGAGGAAGAAAAACATGAGGCGAATCTGCTCTACAGCTTCATTTCTTTGAGTGCGCTTCACAGTAAAAACTGAAGGCAACTAGCAAAGTGAGGTGTGGGGTTCATTTACAGTTCATCTCATTCTGCTATTGTATAAAACTGTAGGATGTAAAAAGCATTAAGCAACTGTCTTTTCATTGGCCTCTCTGGAGTCCAGGTGCTTCAGTTTTATAGGTCTGGATTTTGTGCTGTGGGACAGAGAAGGTGAAGCCAGGCAGAAACCATTAACTTTCTATCACTTTACACGGGTTATAAAGCAACATGCAGGCCACAGATGTTCTCATTTCCAAAATCAGGATTTTGATTTCACTCCACAACTCGTAAACATCCTCATAAAAGAACAACAGTGAAATCAAAGAGGAGATATTTGAAAAAATAATTAATCTGGCGACATATCCCATACAACGGTTTATACGATATCTCATAAAAATGCACACACAATGGTTTGTAAGATATCTGATGAATTAGCGCCGTCACTGGTTAGGTATGGTTTAGGAAAAGATATCATGGTTGGGTGTTGTCACGTTACATACTTAACGTAATGTTACATAGGCCAGGTTCATAAAAATAAACATAGTTGGGTGTCGTTACGTCACAGTCAACATAACGTTACGTACGTCACATAACCAGACAATGTGACAATGTACCTTGAAATAATTCAAACTTGTCCTGGTTTCACACAAAGGACAAATACGAAGTCCCCTGGGGGAAAGTCCTGTGTTTGTTTGACCCATCAACCCGGTCTCACTCCAAAGTCATCGAAATCTGGCGCTTAGGCAGTGTCAGACGCCGACAAAAAAGGCCTTCCTTGAACATCGGTGTGATACGCAGTCAGTCTACGTTATAGTTTAACGGTGCCCGGCAGCGGCAGAGTGAAACACGACAGGACAAGAACAAAAATAACACAGTGAAACTAACGCAGCGACCTTCACCCAGGAGAGCAGTGCTCACGTCCTGTGAGATTATAAAGCCACGCCCTGTTCTTTTCCTAAACCTAACCACATGCATTTTGTTGTTGAAGGAAAAACATCTATGTGCCGTGCTGTACCGATGTAGTGCTTTTATTTTGAAAGAGACTATCAGCCTGAGACAAGAGTCAGTGAGGTTGATAGACTGAAGCATTTGATCACATTCCAAGGAGAAATCATGTGTGTCAAACCTCATGAAAAAGTCATTAAGCTCGTTTGCTTTTTTGAGTTCATCATCTGTGATAAGACACCTCCTCTTCGTAGTCATATTAGCTGCTGCTTTCATAGAGTCCCATAACTTTTTCGAATTCATTGAGGTGAAGTTCTGTGAAGTCCTCTATGATGTCCTTGTGTTTCCTCCTGGCATCCCTCAACTTTTGATCAAGTTCTTTTTGCACTATTTTCAAACCCATACGGTCCTGGTTTTTAAAAGCAATTTTTTTTCGGTTAATACAGTCCTTCACTTCTTTGCTTATGTAAGGTTTATTGTTTGGATATACTTTAACCACCTTTTTGGGAACCACACAGTCAACACAGAACTTTAAATAGTCTGTTATTGTTTCAACAGCAACATCAATTTCCAGATTGTGAAAAAAGTCCCAGTTTGTGAATAAAAAAGAGCCCTTTAATGTCTCAACACTGTCCTTTGACCATACAGATACAGTGACTAAAACACTCCATCACCACTGTAATTCTTCTCTACTGTAAAAATCAACAGTGAAATAAGTCACTGTGCTGTACTGCAACTAGATGGTAGCTTTTTTTTAACCTGCATTGTACCGACATAGTGCTTTTATTTTGAAAGAGACTGTATCAAACTGTACATTTCCTGTGAAAACAGAAGTGTATTTTGAAAACAGACAATGCATGTAACAGGCTGAAGTTGACACGGCGTCCCAGAACGTCAACAACCAACACACCCAGGGTACCTTGGACGTCTTATCTGGGTATCTGTCCATGACCAAACGTCGATAGTGAGAATGTATTGGACCCATCTGTCACCCCAACCAACTAACTTAAGTGGACTTTGACTCTTAATATTTCTTCTTTCTTTCCACCTGTCAGCACATTGCTTCATGATTTCATAGGTTATCTATGAATTCTGGTGCATTACGTTCTGTAGGTGTACGTGCAAACAGTGGATGAAAGCAGCCTGATCTGGCAATGATATAACTATACCTTGTTATACATAACACTGATTATTGTAAATCATTGACGATGGCTCCAATAACATGTTGTTTAATACGGCACTCAGAGGTGGACAATATCAAAATATTAAAGGAAAATTCTGGTGTTTTTCAATAGGAGTGTAATTCTCATAATTGTGGCCTTTCTGACCATAAATCAACAGAATGTTGGACCTGCCGCCTGCGTTGCAAAGATTCTGAAACTTTGTCAAAACAGTGTATAGCGAGTTGTGTTGGTGAAGATTCTCAGTCATCCAGGTCATGGTAGTCATAAGTGCTATGTCGTAGGCAAATGGACTTGCTTGAGTTTCTTGAAGATGTTTCACCTCTACAGAGTCATTGAGGCCACATGGGCCAGCAACTCACATGTGACCTCAATGACTCTGTCAGGGTTCACACCCACACAGAGTTTAAAGCCTGCAACTCTGCATCAGTCTGTTAGAATTGAAGAGGCCTCTTGGATGAGAGGTGAAACGTCTTCAAGAAACTCAAGCAAGTCCAGTTGCCTATGATATAGCACTCAAGATAGTGAGTTGTGGCTCCACTTAGCTAACTGACCAACAAGTTGATCCCTATGCAGTTAGCAGAAATAGCTAACCCTGGGGCTACTCTCTCTACTTTCATTTGTACTCAAAGAGGGCGATGTTTTTATGACCCATAGTCAAAAGATACAGAATAAGAATAAAACCCAGGTTAAAGAGGAATAGATTTTCCTCCCAGGACTTCCATGTTCAGCCTAAAGATTCTAACATAAAACAAACACGGCTGTAATTTATAGGTTACTTGTAGGCTTTCTAACATCTAACCTCCACCAATATTAGCATTGTTGGATTGACCATCATCAGCTGGGGTTGGGGTTTGACCATCGACTGGACACACACAGTATACTTTGAGGAAAAGACTCACATCTTGCTGAAACTGTGCAAAGGTCTTGCGAACTCCGTCTTGCAGAAAGGCCATGGCCTGTTGATCAGGCCAGCGCTCCACTGTCCTCAGCAGGGACTCTCCAACTGTAGTGTGGAGCAAAGATGTGGAAGACGTGCCATGGACGTAGCTGGTAGTGAGAGTTGGGACGACGGGCGGAGAGTCCACATGAATGCAACTGCAGGGAAACTGAAGTTAGTTACTTAACTGTGGGCACAAATCATATCAAACACAGTCCTGAATATGTGTGTGAAGACAGGAGGTTAAACGGGACATGTGGAGGACCTCAAGGGCTCTGTTCTGGGTCCCCTTCTACTCTCTGTCTACATGTTTCCATTTGGCCAAATAATATACAATGCGCACTATGCTATGCTGATGAAACAAATGGTGTCTCTGTCAAGTCAGGAACAACCAGTGCCTTTAAAAGGAAACACTTTAACACAAGGCTGAAAATCTGTGTTTCACTGCTCGTTCTGGTTGAAAGATAAAAGCCTTTTTCCCATCTCAGCTCACCCTGCATCACTGATGGGTGTGTTTTATTGTGCCTGTAACCACTCCTGTTCGTGTTGTCCTGGAGTAAACTTGTATGTCACTGCAGGAAGGTGTGAAGAAGTGAAACCACTGGACGTCAGCAATAAGAAGATTTCCGTGGCTATTTTTATTACTTTTTAAACAACGGTCAGACTCACATCAAATGTTGGATTTAGAGTTGGAATGATTATTCAATGTATCATCTTGTAATAGTTTTTTTCAGTATTTAATGTTAGTAATTTACTGCTTTAAAGTTTTGGACTGTAGGACAGATAAACAGGACATTTAAATATTTCACCTTGGACTTTGAGAGATTGTGATGGACACTTTTCTGACATTTAGCAGACTAAACAACAAATCTATTAATTAAAAACAGGAAAATCAGCTGCTTTGTCGATGACAAAAATGTTGGTAAGTTGCAGTCTTAGCTGAATGTCATGTGTCTCCCTCCAATTAAATGAAGACAAATCTGAAATAGTCTTGTTTGGTTCACTTCAGCCATCAAACATCAGCAGGGAGTGTGAGGGGAGGGTCTCTGATTGACCGACCTGACCTGGAGCACCAACACTACAGTGTTAATAAGGAAGGCACAACAGAGACTCAACTTCCTGAAACGTCACAGGAAGAACCAGCTCAACCAAAAACTACATGTACAGTATATGCTGACATACTGTACATGTGTGTGGTCTGTCAGCTGCACAGTAGCAGACAGAAGAGCGCTCCAAGGGGTCATCAACACTGCCCAGAAAATGATCGGCTGTCTTCTCCCCTCCTTGAAAGAGCTGTACAGTTCCCACTGCCTCAAAAAGCCCAGAACATTCTCGAGGACCCGTCCCACCCAGGACACCGTCTGTCTGAACTGCTGCCCTCAGGCAGGAGAGACAGGACAGTTACAACAAAGACAAACAGGTATAAAAAACAGATTATTAATAGATACTAATAATCAATTCAATAATCTGGAACCCAACATGAAGCCTAAAGCCAGAGACTGGACTCAACTTCCAGTCTTATTCTTGATTATCATCTGATTGAAGAAGCTGTTGATCCACTTTGTATTGTTTCAGACTTGGTCAACAATCAGTTATTGTTATTCTCTGTCTACCTTTATTCCCATAATCTAGATTTAAAACCACAGATTAGGTATTTGCTCTGAGGATCCTCCAACCATAGAACTGAACAGCCACCTTGTCTGAACTCTTGCTCAGAGACTATCTTTAATCTCCTCTTGGAACTCAACTACTCAGCAGTCATGAAGTGTAACATGACCTCATGGGTTGTTGACCCTAGAAGAGATAAGAAGTCAAAAAGGTTCAGGCCTTGGTTCAAACAGGTTTGACAGTCATTGACCTCTCACACAGAAGCACACTACAGGTACACAGCTCTCTGCTGCAGATAAGGGAGTGACAGGAGAGCAAGCTTTATGATGACAGATAAAACCTTCTGTCGTCTGTAGCAGGGCTGCACTGACTGGTGCTGATGATATTAAGGTTTAATTTGACTAAGCTGAATTTGTTTTTCTAATCACTTTGATTTCAAATATCACAATATTCTGAGACACTGAGAGCAAGTTGTCTTCATCCATCTCTCTTTTGAGACAAACAGATTTCCCTCTGATTGTTTTCTTTCTCACATCTGTCTCTGTATTCCTGTTTCCACGAGCAGTTCAGTTCAGTTCAGTACTTTTTTGTCTGTCTCCACAGTGAAAGTTGTGGATGGTCCCAACAGAAGCGTTCCTTAGCGTCCCCATGTTTGGTCCCCCCTCTGTTGGGGTACCTAGCACACAGATCTGGTACTAAAAGGTGGAGCTAGAAACCCTGCAGTCTGATTGGTCAGTAGAGGACGCTCACTCTGGTTTTATGTAACCTCTGTTCATACATCAGTAAACTACAACTATAAAATGAAAGAGAAAAAAATAACTTCATTCACTGGGCCGACTGCCGGCAACTTTTAAGGTGGAACATTAACTTGTAATGTTACTCAATGCATGAGTTGATGACGTGAATCCATCAGCACACCTTAAATTTCACTGTGACAACTTTGACCATCACTTTAGTTTTTATATGACACACACTTTTAGTAATGACTTTAAAAATATAGATGAATTTGGAGCGGATTATGTGAAGGTCATATATTCTAATCCTCACTTCCTGTGGGCTACAGCAACACTAAACCCCTGAGCTTGCCTGAGAAGGACTAAATGCACAAAGCTGCTATTTTTAAATATCCCATGGAGAGAGACTCTCACTGCAGCCTGTTGTATTTTGTTGTGAAAATGTGGGCGTGCAGCCTCGTTCTGTGGACGATAAACCAGGTGCAGACTTCCATCTGTGTCACCGCTGATGAGGAAATACAGCGAGTGCTGGACGGAGCAGTGAGTGACAACAACCCCGCCAACATTTAAGAGGACTGTCTGTGGTGGAAACTCTAGGGTCTGTCATTGTGCAAATTAAGAAAAACAAACAAACATGATGGCTGATTCTGATAGTTCGTTTAGATAGGGTTAGTTTAAAGGAAATATCAGCCGATACCGATGACGTGCCGATATTACTGTGCATCCCTGCTATATGTCTGAATGCAACACTAGTTTATGCAGTTGAATGCAGCACAGTGAAGACATACAGTTTCTTTTTAATACTGTAGCATACTGCACATTTCTATTTCTATTTTATTCCTCCATATACTTCTATTTCAGACTCTTATTCTAAGACGATATCGGCCGATACCGATAACGTGCAGATATAATCGTGCGTCTCTAGTAAATAGCAAAGCATTGGAGGGAAATAGATAGACAGACAGATAGACAGACAGATAGATAGATAGATAGATAGATAGATAGACAGACAGATAGATAGATAGATAGATAGATAGATAGATAGATAGATAGATAGATACTTTATTGTCCCCGAAGGGAAATTTGAGCTGAGACAAGCTGCCGCCATAGTTAAAATTACAGAAGGAGAAGAAAGGTAAGTTACAAAGTTGCACATTTGCGCAACAAACACACAGATAAACAAAAGTTGCACGTATGCACAACAATAAATACAATAAATACACATATAACACATTCCCACATGTGCCCATACAAGTACAGTAGGGGGATGGACCACAGCAACAACATATATTGCACATCTCAAACTGTTACCTTATTTAATATTCTAATAGAGGTAGGGACAAATGAATATTTAAATCTGTTAAGCTTGCAGATGGGGGCTCTGTATCGTTTGCCAGATGGTAACAGTACATATTCTGAGTTGAGGATGTGAGCGGGATCGGATACGGCTCTCTGTGCCAGTCTGAGGACAGACTCTTCATAGATCGAAGGCGAGGAGGAGTTTTCAGTCCCCCCTATGACCTTCATTGCAGTCTGGACCAGACGGTTAAGTTTAGATGTAGAGTGAACAGAGAGATTTCCGTACCACGCTGACATGCCAAACCTGATGATGCTTTCTAGCACAGCCTGATAAAACAAAAACATAAGCTTCTGGTCCACCCCAAAGACCCTGAGTCTACGTAAAAAATATAGCCTTTGCTGAAGGCGAGAACACAGCATGTCAACTTGATTTTCCCAGTTAAACAGATTATCCAAGTGAACGCCCAGATATGTATAAGAACTGACCTGGTTTATTGTTTGATCATGGATTAGCAGTGGGGAGTTAACGCCTACTGACTTGGGGTCAATCAATATCTCTTCTGTTTTCTTGACATTAATAATGAGGTGGTGGTCATCGCACCACTGAACAAAAGACCTCCTCAAAATATGATGAGGGGTCTGAGTCTTTGTACAGCAGGCTGAGAATTGCAGTATCATCAGAGAATTTAAAAACATAATTCCCAGATACAGTCATTTGTGTAAATAGTGAAGAGGACAGGTGAACTAACGCAACCTTGAGGTGCCCCGGTACTAAACACCCTTTTCTTTGGAACAGGGATGACAGTTGATCTTTTCCAAAGGGCAGGGACAGTATGTTGGTCGATGGACTGCTGAAAAATAGGGCACCAGACTGGAGTAAGCTCCTCCACACAGGTTTTTAAGAGAAAAGCAGAAATACTGTCTGGGCCTGAAGATTTCTTTTTGCAAACCCCCCTCAAGAGTGATTGGATTTTAGAAGGATCAACTATCAGCCTGAGACAAGAGTCAGTGAGGTTGATAGACTGAAGCATTTGATCACATTCCAAGGAGAAATCATGTGTGTCAAACCTCATGAAAAAGTCATTAAGCTCGTTTGCTTTTTTGAGTTCATCATCTGTGATAAGACACCTCCTCTTCGTAGTCATATTAGCTGCTGCTTTCATAGAGTCCCATAACTTTTTCGAATTCATTGAGGTGAAGTTCTGTGAAGTCCTCTATGATGTCCTTGTGTTTCCTCCTGGCATCCCTCAACTTTTGATCAAGTTCTTTTTGCACTATTTTCAAACCCATACGGTCCTGGTTTTTAAAAGCAATTTTTTTTCGGTTAATACAGTCCTTCACTTCTTTGCTTATGTAAGGTTTATTGTTTGGATATACTTTAACCACCTTTTTGGGAACCACACAGTCAACACAGAACTTTAAATAGTCTGTTATTGTTTCAACAGCAACATCAATTTCCAGATTGTGAAAAAAGTCCCAGTTTGTGAATAAAAAAGAGCCCTTTAATGTCTCAACACTGTCCTTTGACCATACAGATACAGTGACTAAAACACTCCATCACCACTGTAATTCTTCTCTACTGTAAAAATCAACAGTGAAATAAGTCACTGTGCTGTACTGCAACTAGATGGTAGCTTTTTTTTAACCTGCATTGTACCGACATAGTGCTTTTATTTTGAAAGAGACTGTATCAAACTGTACATTTCCTGTGAAAACAGAAGTGTATTTTGAAAACAGACAATGCATGTAACAGGCTGAAGTTGACACGGCGTCCCAGAACGTCAACAACCAACACACCCAGGGTACCTTGGACGTCACATGTGGACGTGGAAAGTCCATGACCAAACGTGGACATGTGACGAGGTCACAGTGAGGATGTCTTGAACCCATCCATCTCCCTTTGCGAACCTTCTTATGTGGACTTTCAGTCTTTGTACTACCTCTTCTTTTCCACCTGTCCATTCCATTGGTCATGTGTTTGCAGCTTTCATGATAACGTGGGTTATATACAGTGCCTTTCATGATGCATCTGGACGTGGAAAGTCCATGACTGAAACATCAATGCCTGACGAGGGCGGAGTGAGGATGTGCTGAACAGTTACGTCCAGGCATGATGATCTGCAACGACCCATTTGCACAAACTGCTGCCTCGCAGTCCCACAGCTTCACACACAATCCAACACACTCCCTCTGATATCATATGTTTCCAGTGTTCTGCAGTAACATGTCACAGTGTGTGGTCCAAAAACTCTACTGCTACATAAATCCTGTCATCAATACAACCAGTAATTTCCTCTCTTAACTCCTATCTTATCATAACTGTACCTACTGTAACTGATTACTTTACAGTGTGTGATGAGTACAGGAAAAGTAGCTCAACATGTACTCCAGCCCTGCTCACATGACGTCACCTGACTTCCTGCCAACATCAAACACAATTCAATGAAAATCAATTATTTTATTCGTCTTTCCAGTTGCTGCGATCAGCAGCTGCCACACTGACTCTGGATCAGTGCTCACACTGGAGTCATTCACTGCTGACGTCATCAACAGAGTGCAGGAGGTGGACAAAATAATGTGAACACCTTCACAACCCGACATTAAACAACCGTGTAGTGAGAACTATTTCAGTTTTATAACTATTTTATCTACAGGAGTCACTGAAACTTAACAAACTCATTTCAATAGAGGCTTTCAAAGCTCTACTTAATGTCGCGGTCCCGAGCACTCAGTCATGTTCTTGTTATTCCTAGTCTGGCTGTCTGTTTTATTCGGCATTTTATATTACTGTACTCGTTTACTGCATTGTGTGTTGTGATATATATTCTGAACTTTTTAGCTTCTTAATCGTAGACTAATTCTTAGTCTGGTTTACTATTATATTTGGCACTTTACACTTATGTACTCTTGTATTGCATTGATGTGTTGTGACCTGTATTTTGAATTGTGCTCAATGCAGGGCGTCCTTGAAAAAGACAGCTTGCTCTCAATGGACCTCCCTGTTAAAATAAAGGCTTAAAGTTGGAGAGCAAAACACCAGACTCGTGTTTCTGTAATGCCCCCCCCCCCCCCCCCTGCAGAGAGATGGCAGTTAATATAATGTACAAGTCAAGATTACGTAATATTAAATGTGGGGGCTGGCTGTGTTGCGTTTAGAAACCTCTCAAGTGGTGTCATGGTATCTGTCCCAGCAGCCGTTACATAATCAAAAAGTTACCCACAAATAAACTTTTGTTTTTGAGGAACATGTTAATATATCTTTTAGACTTTGTTTAAAGGAAACCTGTGTCTCGTGCAGCCATGTGAGCTTTAAAGTGAAGTGAAAGTGAACGCTGTGTTTGGATCATGCGTGGGTGCGTGTGCGTCTGTCACTCACCGAGTGGCTGTAGGTGATCCTGGGTGACGTGTCCACGGTCTCTGCAGAACCTTTGCACATGTGGAGAACACACAGTTGTTCCGTAGAGCCTGTGAGCACAGCACGAGCCTGGGTATCATGGTGTGCAGCTGCAGCTTAGCGCTCCTCTTCACACTGGGAGAGATCCACTTCCTCTGAGCTCCGCGGGACTGAGCTGCTCTGACACAGTTCAGGCAGGAATTCACTTTTGATTCGCGGGAGATTAGTCTGCAGCGATTGGCAGCTCCTTCCACGGACCTTGATCCGTCACATGAGTTGACAGCAGTGTTGTCCTGATGGAGGCGTCAGTGCTGCAAGGAAACAACTGAGGGGCCACAAACTACCACCAGACTGCTGGGAAACTTCTTTATAAACATGAACCTTATTTTATCATGTGAACACAGTGAGTGAGTGAGTGAGTGAGTGAGAGCCTGCAGCCTGCAGCAGTGTGACATGCAGCATGTGATCCCCCTGCAGGCAACTGACAACCATCACTTTACTATATTTTGCCACAGACAAGCTCAGGGACATGTTTCAGGAAGCAAACCCAACAAACTCTGAGTTGGGGCACCTGGGGACACGGAATGCTGCCTTGCCTCTGCAGGAGGGAGGATCCTTGACTTTGAGAAACACCATCTGAGTTTTTGATCAGCTGATCAGAATGAACTCATGTAGCTCACTGATTCTTGAGAGTTGGGACAAAATATGTCCTACATAGAAAAGTCTAATTTATATCAAAAATGAAGAAATTCATCATGATTGACACACTTACAAAGTTAAATCTGAAGGAACTGTATATACCTATGTGATTTTTAGAATATACTTTTTTTTTTTATCTTTTTGGGGGAAATTTGTTTAAATGTGTGGTTAGAAGGTCCATGTTATTGCACTTGTCCTCAGCAAGAGGTCACAATATTGACCATCCCAAAAAACTTTAAAAAAGCTCTACAATTATGAAAACATATATATCAAATAAAAAAGAAGGGGTTTAAATATGAAAAACAATGCATGAAGTGAACGTCAAACAATAGTTTCCATAAAAATCTGCCTATCAAAGTTGTGTCCTCAGTTTCTGTCAACTCCGTCAGATTTTTTCATAAGACTCATTAAATCAGGAAATAGCATGGTCAGCTATATCCCTGAGGACCCCTTTTCATCTCCCTACCTGTGGTGAATGCAACACTACCACACATGCTCTGGTACGTTTTACATTTTTTGATATTTTAGACAAACAATGTCAATATTCCTATGGTCACAGCTGGACCATGTCAATACCATCTTTCTGTTAAGATACTTTTTTTAAACCACAGTGGATTGAATTTAAGCATTTTAGTGAAGTTACTGGGACAGCTAGCAACTGAGGAAAAACTAGCTAGCTGCATTGTGCAATACATGTTTTGGTGGGAAAATACATGCCCTTACGTCAACTCCGTCAGACGTCAACTCTGTCAGGTTCTATGTCTGACGGAGTTGACAAATCCTCCAATAAGCTCTTAATGTGCTAATATAATATTATTTGTGAATAAAATGTTATTTCAGGGTTTTATTTACACATAAATGTATATACATAGCATGCATTACATTATTTAACCATACACATCTGACTTGTAGAGAATTATTATTGTGTAACGTGTAACTTTCCCAGCACTTTAATATATATATATATTTATATATGTAGAGACAGAGATAGAGAGAGAGAGATGAGAAGCCAGTGTGTAGATTTTCACAACATCTGGTTATATAAACTACATACTGCACCTTGAGGATTTTACATCCATCCATCCATCAATCAGTCAATCATGTCAAGTAAAAAAAAATCTGATTCTGTTGTCTTATTCTAGTACATTTTTCATTATTTCAGTTTGTATTGTAGGAAAGCATGGCTAGACAGAAATTGTCAGTTGAGGAGCAAAGGAGAAGAAATAGAGAGTACCAGCGAAAGAGAAGAGAAAAATTAAACAGTGACCAAGAGAGCAAACATGCTATGCAAGAGAAGGAAAGACAATTTAAGATCACACCCAGTATGAAGTAGGCAGTGCAGGGCAATCACACACCCAACACACCCACCCACTCACACCTAACCACACACACACACACACACACACACACACACACACACACACACACACACACACACGCCACTTTAAAAAGAAGATGACTACTGACAAAGGGGGAAAGGTGGTGTAGGGGAGGAGGGCCCCTGGTTTCCCTTATTGTTTTTTTGATAGTTGGAAACGGTGTATGTGCAATTATTGGTGCAGATTACCATAACAATTGTGCATTTTGT